TCTCTAGAGAATTTGTTTCTTATTGATGAAATGTAAATGTTTGTTGATTTCAAATCTTCCATTATTTCTTCATAAAAAATTTGCAATAAACATTCAGTTGGATTTTTCAAATTGCTAAAGCTTTTCTTGACATCATATAAATGTATCACTATATTGTACGAACGTGTTCAAACATTTTTTCAAGGGTAATTTTCAAACATAAAAATCATCTGATCTCAAAGAAGATATGCTCCCTAAATCATGTGAATCATCATATTACTGGTCAGAATCAGTTTCGTGATCACTTTCAGAAATATTATCACACTCAGAATCGGAATCTTTAATTTTGCTATTAGTTTCAACACTAACGAGAAGAACCCGCAGTCGCTACTGTTCTCGCTCGTATGCACTCATCTCAATGAATGTCTCTCTAGAAGTGAAGCGTTAGTACACGCGTGGGGTAGCTACAATCCCATTACACATTCCTTCCCCCAAAACACAAAATCCCAAGGACACAGGAAAAATTCCTCTGGATGACCCTTCCTAACCTTGATCTTGAAAGGTACATGAAGTATTAGAAAGGTCATGTATGACCTTCCCTTATTTCCTAAGAAAAGACTACACGTGGGGTGGATTTTACTCCAGCACGTGTGCTAACGGGTTAAATGGAGTGCACTGTCAAGTTGCTGGTGAATATCCACCTTTCCTAGCTCTGTTTTAACATGGAGTGTAAATGTGATTGTAAGTATTCATGGTTTTATTTTCAAAGTTAAATGTGATAATCAGCAATGCTGTAACTCAGCCAATTTGAATCCCCATTCTGTTTTGCAGACAGGAGACGGGGGAAACAAAACAGTTGTTAGATTTGCATGCATGTATCCATGCCTTCTAGCTGCATCTGTGACTGAGTGGTTAAGACTATCAAATACTGTGAGTTTTGTCTCGGGCAAATGGATAGTCTGTATGATTGGTTTTCCAATGTATAATGTGATTACGAGCTCTCTCCCTTTAGGCCCGATGTGTTTTGCCATATTAATGTAGTTGACTTTCATGACTTAAATTGTGTTATCTGAATTTAGATCTTTTGGGTGTCTTTTATGCAATAATTTTGTCTACTCATTCATTTTTGATTAATTTGTTTTATGAGAAATATTAGCTTCTTCCTTTTTTTTAATCCCAGAAGTGCTATTAATTTTGTTTTGGTATTTTGCATTGAGAAATTTAAATGTCCGTTTCACCTTTCAAATTGTTGCCATCAAATATTATCCCCCTGTGTTATATTTAAAGAAATTAAATAATGAAGAATCTGCATAAATGTATGTATATTTCTCGCATTGTGATAATGGGACCTAGAGCCATCAAATTTTGAATAACGTAATCCTCCACCGAATGTAATCACCAGGAAGCCCTAACTTGGAATTTGTTTTATTATCGATTTGATATTTTGTAATACTTTAACAATTTTTTTATTAACAAACTCAACAATTTCAAAGCGAGCTATAGCAACACTGTATGGAGGGGAGGGGAACATTTTTATTTCCAGCGTCCGTGAGACTGCATCAGAAATTCTAAAGATATGCTCATTTTAAAATTATTTTGTGATATTGCTGTTGAATTGAATTTTATGGATTAAGTGTAAAGAACATGATATTTAATAAATAAAAGTAACGCACAAAACATTAAAAAAAGGCCCCTTTGGGCATAATATAAAATCTGAAAACTTTCAGTTTTTTTTTTGGGGGGGGGTAATAAATCATACCAAAAACTGAATAACTAGTCAATTAACTGAAAGTGATATAGTAAATACTATTTAGTCATATTAACATGTCTGTTTAATACGTTTAATTTTTTTATATATTACTTACTTACTAGACTGCTTTTTTAAAAAATTCAATGCAGTCAATAGCTCAATGTTTTATGTGTTTAATATTTGTGTTAACCATACCAAATATGTCCTTAGGACCAAAATATTATATAAAAATGTACAAATGTAGATGTAACCAGTTATTTCCATCATTGTAATGATTTGAGATAACTATATGTATTTTTCTGCTTAAGTGACTACTGTTAAGCTGAAGCCTCAAAATAAATGTGGCATTTTGGACTGGATAGTTTAAAATGGTATGTTCATTATACCTAGAAGATTTCTTATTGTTTAAAATCGTATTAGAAAAACTAGATAGCAGCACTAGCTTGTTTTATAATCAGTTTGATATCTAGTTTTTCTGTTAAAATTGATAATAGACTATCAGGAACATCTTTGAGCACATAGATGGCTTTTTTAATTTCTTATAAAGATGTGACTGAAAGCCTTCTTTGCAATATTGGTATCTGAAGTAAGTGAATTTTTTGACAGTGTAAATAATGACAACAGTGATGGAGCTGTGTTTTTATCTGGACATGCATGGTATGAAATTTTACCTTGATGTCTTAAAGCATTTGCATAGATAGTGTTTAAATGTGACAGTTATCATTGCAAGAAGATTTCTTGGAGCTTTAGATCTCAGTTGGAAAACTAGCTGACAGTAGTAGCTTGTTTTATGATCAGCTAGTCCTGTTATCTAGTTTTCTTGTTAAGATCAATTATAATAGAATATCAGCTGCATCATTCTACGCATAGATGGTTTTTTGATTTATTATAAAGATGTGATTACAAGCCTTTTTGGACGATAACTGCAATATTGATGTATCTGGCAATGCTGTGAAGTAAGTGAATTTTTTTGACACTACAAATGATGTCAGAAGTAATGGAGCTGTTTTTTTATCTGGACATGCATACTATAAATTTTGCCTGTTTTGAAGCCTCAAAGAATTGCATACAGAATAATTTAAATGCAATGTTTATCATACCCAGAAGATTTCCTGGAGCTGTAGATCCTACTAAGAAAACTAGATGGCAACACTCACTTGTTTAATGATCAGCTAGTCTTACTATCTAGTCTTCCTGTTAGGATCAGTTGTTACAGAATATCAGCAGCATGTTGAGCACACAGGTGTTTTTTTTTTTTTTTTTTTTTTTTTTTTTTTTTTTTTTTTCTATTTTTTATGAAGATGTAATTATGCTTTTTGGGGTAATAAATAAATTATTGGTGATCTGACTGTGACTGGTGAACTAAATAAATTTTAATTTGGGCAATACGAATTATAACTGTGATGGAAACATTTTTAACCTGGACATACATGAAATTTTATCTGCTGCTCTTCTGTATTTTAGATCTCTGGGAACACCTAAAGTAAATTTCAATTTTAATCCAACTTACTTTGTATATTTTAGAGTAATTTGTATATTTTAGAGTAATTTGTGAATGATGATTCTAGCTATCTGAAATGTTTTCAGAATTAATATGTATTTTGAATAATGTCAGAAAATTAGATGCTTTCAAATGATATTTAAAATTTTTTAAATGTATTTAGAGTCCTCCAAAGAAAAAAATAAATTCATTATTATTTTGCTTCTTCTTCTTCTTCTTCTTTTTTTTTTTTTTTACAGTATGATTTATGTTCTTTTATATGACTTACTGTTTTGTGTTACATTAATGTATTACTGTAAATAACTTATGTGCGTTTGGTAACTAATTTGAAGAGTGATTTAAAGAATATTTTTAATTTGGATTTTATTTCCTTGGTATTATTTAAAATGGCTTGAGTTTGTTACTTTTCAAATATTTAATAATTATAAAATTAGGATATTATACACATTGTTGTTATTTGTGAAATGATTTTCATGTATTTAATCTAGTTACTTGAATAAGAAGTCTCAGTGCTCAATGCAAATTTAATTTCATTATATTTATGTATTAGACCTCTGAAATTCATTGCAAAACATTCCTTTATTATTATTATTATCATCATTAAGAGATGCATTTCTGGAAAGTAAAGATACAAAAGTGAGTGTTCAGTCAAAAACTTTAAAATTTAATTATATTCAACTATATTTTTCAGCATACCCCCCCCATCCCCCAAGTAGCAAGTCTGTGAATTAATTCTTATCTTGCAGGGTCATAAAATTCTTCCGCCAGCCATTTGAACTGTATGATTTCTCATTTCATTTTAAGAACCGCTCGTACCTAGGGTTTTCGGTAACCAGGGACAACTGAAAGTTAATATTTCTATCTAATTGAAGATTTTGTGCCCTCTCCTGTTTGCCAAAAGGCAGTGGGAACATCAGTTCACCACCTCCTGGATGCTGCACTTGGGAACAGATCTCACACTCTCAACCATGCCATTGGAAAAGAACAACCGTCAAAACTTCTGTCTGTCTCCGAATGGCCTATCAAAATCATTACAGTGTTTTGCAGTATGCATTAACATTAGTTGTTGCCTCTGGAAGCATAAATGTTGTATAGAAATGTGTCTGAGAAAAATAGCATTATTTCTTTGTAGGGCAAAACCAGTTTTGAATAAGTGTTCAGGAAAATGCATATTGCACAACTGAAGCGTTTGTTATCATGAATCCTTTCTTTAAGAAGATTGTCATGTTTAAGATGATCTGTTGTTCTTTTTTTCATTGTAAATACTAGCCATGCCTCTTGAAAATTCATTGCATCACTTCATCACGTTTTGTAGATTTATGAAGTTGTCATAAATAGTGTTTATGAATTTCCATTGGATCTCTCGTATTGAGATACTTCAAAATGGTTTGTACTTCACATTTGGTGTAATACTTGATCATTGTTGCCATTTCAGTTATCTTGAATAAGAGCAGATGTAGGATCGCTAAATAAACATGGAAGAAAAAGAAAATTTTATGTCGCTGCCAGTGGAGCCATACAATGCATAGCAGTGTCTCTTAGCTGAGCGATGATGTATTTTTACTTTCTGGACGTGCCACATAGCATTGAAACTAAACCAAACTTTAAATTTGAACATAACACTTTCTTATGCTGATGTCTAAATTAATTAGAAAATTCTTAAGAAAGCTTTAATAGATTTTTTAAAAGTTTTTAATTCTATAAATGTATTACCTTCACTCTTGTTCTTTTTAATATTCTTGTCTAATTTAGTTTTAATTTTTTTTTCAGCATGGAAAGAGTACTGAAATCTTTGTAAATATCTTAATTTTGGACACCACCAGCTGTAGTAGTTAGCAGCATAATGTTATTGCCAATTACTTAAACTATGGACTTGTATGGGAAAATACTAATTACTGTTAACTGCCAGATATTGAAAATTATCTTTGGCATGTTCCATCATGACTGAAATTTACTTACTACTACCTGTGCTCGTGGAATGATGTGTTAAAAAAAAGAATGAACATTGTACATTTTATTTTTAGGTTTTTAATAAGTTTGCACCAGATAGTTTACTTGTGTATTTCCAAAGTGTGCAAAGGGCTTTTTGTGTATTTGATCTCTGCCCATCTGATAGTTTAATAAAATGAAAAATTGTGCTATTTTAATTTTAGTTATGTAAATGTGATGATAACATTTGAAAACTTCTGATTCCATATGCATTGGTGTTTAAATTTTGAACTGCAAGGATGTGCTTCATCTGAGTAAGGGTATTGCCATTCAGTGTAATTTTTTAACAGTGATAAACCTCAGCAACAGTTTAATATGTGTAAAAAGACTAGTTTCATTGATACTGTGAGCAAAAATTATTTTCTGATTTTTATTAAATTTCTATAATATATTACTATAATCACAGTTTCATTATTTAATGTATTTTATGGTTATTGAAAATCTTCTGAAAATTTTTACCTAATTTATATTTACCATTTTAATTTATAATATACTATTTGTATTAACTTCTGTTTATGCATATGAAAGCGAAATCTCATTTCAAAAACAAAAATAAAAAAATGCAGAAAATTCCACAATCTGAGTATTGATGTTTTAGCAAGTTCCTATTTTTTGAAGACATGTATATTTTAGAACTGCAGATGCTATTCATGTGTAATTTTTAAGCTTTATGTACATCAGTTTAAAATAAAATATATTTAGTTTTTTAATTATTTTGCACTAATTCATAAAATCCATTATTTAACTGCTGCTGGCAAATTTCTATTAATGATTTCATTTTTTTGGTAATATATAGTTTAATTTCATGTAGACTTCTATATATTTTGCAACATTATAAAGGTTGCTGTATTTCTTGATATTAATGTATAAGCTTTTTATGTATTTTCCATTTTCATTAATATTTTGTTTCTTTTCTATTTAAAATTATAAAATTATCTGTTGCTGTATATTCACAAATCTGAATTATAAATTCTCATTATTGATTAAAATTGACAATAATAAAATGCTAAAAAATTTTAATCTCATCTTTGCAGTTGCTATACTTGTGTTTTATGTGTGAAATGTAATTTTTAATTTACTATTTAAGAATGGAAATGTGATATTTTAGGTAAAAGTATAAAAGTTCTTTCTAATACAGTCAAAAGTCGTTAATTCGGACACCCATAATCCGGAATGATCTATAATCCGGACCTCAAAGCTAAAATCTTTCTGCGCATGCGCCGCGTTGGCACATGCGCACAGGCGTGTGCGCAAGTGCAGAATACGTTTTCGCCTGCTCGTTTAATGTATAACGGACGGTGTAAGCTAAAATTATCTAATTATCTATTTCAGTTAATGTTAATGATTGCGTTGTTCCTTAATCTTCGAATTGGATCCCGCTTATTATTTTTTGCAGATTGTAAGAGCAATTTTATAAAAGTAAACTTGAACTTTCGATTATGTCAAATAGAATTTCCGATGCTGGAGCTCCCAAAGGATCTAGAAAACGAAAGTATGTTTCGATGTCCATCAAACAAAAAGTGGAATTGCTACAAAAAATGGATAAAGGCATATTCTTTGTTTTATCTCTAACCGTTCCGAAATCTGTTTATCAATTTCACGCTGCTCTGCGGCGGGGGGGGGGGGGGGAAGGACGTCGCGGCGCGCAATGAACTGGAAGTTGATTGTCAACACTATCGTTATCTTCAGAGCAGATGTTTTTATTTCATTCGGCTTATAATTCCTTACTAAATGTAGTATTTAATTTCGATTTACTCCGTCTTTGATATGATTTAAATCAAATTCCTCGTCATTATAAATACCACGAATACAAATCAAATAGTTTCTTGGTTGCAATTTTCTAATTTCGGCTATGCGTAAGGTATGCTTTACGCATCCGCGCGTTGAAAGAAATGTTTAATAAAGTAAACAAATAAATATTAGCTTCTTTTTTTGGTAAATTTTTGATACCCTTTAGATCATAATTGCTCATTATTTTATAAATTACGGTTTCATATTTTTAATTTTATAATTTCTGCATGCCATCTTACCAGATTTAAACTGATGATCTATAATCCGGAAAAATCGATAATCCGGAATCGCCGAAGTCCCGACGAGTCCGGATTAAAGACTTTTGACTGTAACTGCTGCTTCAGAAACTGTTTTTAATAAATTTATTTAAATTTTCTGTTTTCAAATATTAAAAAACATTTTGAAATTTTTTATGTAATATTTAAAGAAATTTTGAATAGTTATGCATCTAGAAAAGTTTTTTTTTTTTTTTTTTTTTTTTTTTTTTTTTTTAAATCATCTGAAATATCAACCTAACTTTATACTGGAAATGTTTCTATTGCGATTAAGTAAATGGTTGTGCATTTATATGAGAAAAATTTAATGTTTTCTTCTGTATGATCCATTTAAGTTATTTATGTATTTAAATTACTTCTACAGTTGAAAACATTGTGCCTTAAATTTGAGTGCAATCAAAGGCATAACACCTAAATCTTTGCTCAATTTGCGATTTCAAATGTTACAAATTCAAATCTATTTGGAAATGCAAACATTGACAGTTTTCTTAGTTATTAATTTCCAACATTTATACTATCTATCTTTGCTTACTACAAAGGTGCATCTGGATTTTAAAAAAGAAATGTATACATTTTCTTCCATTGTAATTTTTTTTTACATCAGTATTATTATGAAAGAGTGGATTTCTGTACAAACTTGCCTTGTGCTACAGTGCAGGAAGTTTTCCTCTTCATGGAATGAAATTGTTACATTTTTTCCAACAAATACATATACATATATGTAATTTGATAATTAAGTTGTATTAAAATCTTAAATAATCTGTGCCAAATTTTTCCTTCTCAGATGGTGAAAAAAGTTTTATAAAAGTAGCATTTATATTTGTCAAAAAAATTTATGAATGATAATGATATTTCTAAGTTTTACTTCTCATTCCTTTCATAAAGTTAAAAAATAAATAGATAAAGATATTCTGAATAGCAGATCATTCCATAATGCATATTTGGTATGAATTTTCAACTATTTCATTTGGAATTTTTTATATATTTCGTGGATAAATGCTAGAAGAAAGTTGTGCAAATAATTAATGATTTTTTGTAAGATGTAAGAAGTATGGCTTAAAATTTTCTGGTGTATTGTATGCTTTTTCAAATTATAAAAAATATATGAAGTTGATCAAGATAATTATGGAGTCATTAACTGACATGACTGACTGATTTTAATGCAGAATTATTTATGTAATTCATGTGTTTATGAAAGAATTTTTTGAAGGTGTTAATTTTTAAAGTGTGACAAATTTTGAAAGAATATTATTGTGAAATTGATCAGATTTACCATCTTAACAGTAAAGATTTATTTAGCAGGTATTAAAATGTAATTTAAATACAGTCTATGTAAGTATCAGTCAGAAAAATAGCTTTTCTTTGCTGATATTTAAGCATTAGCATGACATTTCTGTTTTTTATTTCATTAGAAATTTTAAATTGTCCCTGCATAAAACCAAACATTATCTTTTATTCTTTCTAAATTGTACTTATGTTGACATGAGTGCTTACCTATATAACTTTTTTCAACATAAACCTTTTCTGAAAATGACAAAATAAGTCATTTTCAGATTGTGAGAAGATAATTCAATTTTAATAAATTTTCATTTTTTAAAACTTATTTATATTAACATTAAACAACTAAGAATTGCAGATATTTTATTTATTAAAGAAATAATTTATATTGTTTTAGGCCTTAAATATCCCTATTCTTTTATTATGCAATAAACAAATTATATATGTCATTAGGTTAAAAACTTAACTTTTATGATTGTTAGCAGAAATATATTATGCAAATGAAACATAGTAATGATTTGTTGCTTTTTCCTCCATCATTATTAAACTGACACCACAAGTTAATTTATTTTAGTGCATATTTAATATATTTAAGTGAGAACTGATCTTTCAGTTTATATTTATCTGTTACCATTTTGGATATATAAATAGTTGTTGTATTTTTATATAATATGATTTTATGTAATTTTGGAAATTTTTTTATGAACTTATACAAAGCTAATTAAGATACAATAACACACCAAACAAATATTAATTTAAAAGTCAAACAACAAAATATAACGCTGATTTTTGTTGTTTGACTTCTAAATTAATATTATACAAAGCTGTTTGTGATAAATAAACAGCTCATATGTCTCCTAAGTTTTTATATAGAATAAAGCATATGAACTATAATTAATGGTTACCTGAATTTTTTACATTTCTTAAATGTAGTTTAAAATACATCAATATTTATCTGATCTTGAGACAGTTCCTATTTAAATACGATTCTTTTCCTAAAAAACAGTTCTTGTTATAAACTATATAATTTTCATGTATGTGTAACTCTTTCTTTGTAAAATGTTGAATGAATTCCAATCATTTCAGTGAAAATGATTTATTTCCTGTGATAATGCTAATCTTAAACATTAGACTATGTATCATTTAAGTTTAAAATCTAGGCCTATTATATTACAGTATTCTCTCAAGGTTTATAGTTTCTTGTCTTTAAAAATATTAGTTTAGTGTTATTTATTGGTATTTAGAATTATATTTGTCAGTTCAGTTATGAGATTTAATATAATCATTAGATGTACTTATGCTTTTACAGTTAGAATTTACAGTATTAAAAGAAAGTACTTTTTATGAACATTTTCTAGGAAAATTCTTCATTTTAAGTGAGGTTTTGTGTGTGATATGTACTTAGATTTGAATTTTAAAGTACTTTGATTTCCACAGACAATGTCTGCAAGTTTATTTAATGACATATAATCATCTTATATGTATGCTGTTCAGGACATGTCATGAATATAGTTTGTGAATGTGTTATTTTTTCTTTAATAACTTTTTTAACCTTACATCACAAAATTCTATTCAGGTTTTAAATGGAAAAAGGATTAAAACTTCACTTAAAATTTAGAAGGCTTTATAAATCTAATTATTACTGTTCATTGAACTGCATTTGCTATCCAGAAATTGATGATAATTTTTAGTTAAATATATTAAAATATATCATTCTGGATTAATTATCATGAAAAATTAACAGCAATAAAATACTGTGTGGTGTCACAACAGTAGGATGAACATGTATTTAAAATTTCAGAAATGACAGGATTAGTTTAGTTCTGTTTTGTTAATGAAAAAACTGATAGAGAAAGGAATATTTTTGTATATTCTGTTGTAAATGTATTGTATTAAATTTTATTCTTTGTATGCCAATTTAATTGTATGAACTAATTTATAATTGTTTATTTTGTAATATAAGTGTCAGTTTATTCCTTCATTTCTTATACTCAAATTATTTGAATAAGAAAACTTCTGATCCTTTCAAATTTGCACTAAATTTTAAAAATTCTTTCTCCACCCCCCCCCCCAATGCGTTATTCATCTGTTATCTGTCATTCAGTTTCCTAAAATTGTAAAATGATAAACTAGGATAAATTTTATTTTTCTCTAGTTACCTAATTATTAGAGCATGTCTAAGTTAGAATTATTGATTTGCTATTTAATATGTTGTTAAATTTCCAATTTAAATGATTAAACGTTCATTACATTCGTAAAAGTGTCCCATTTTTACTTAGAGTCAAAATTTATGTATGGTGTGCTTTGAATACATTTAATTATGTTAAAATGTAATTGATGTGAAAAAGTTTGTTATCTGAATTGTTCAGTTCAGTTCTTCAGTTTTATTTTATAGTAGGGTAAAGAAATATGTATTGCTGCAGAAAAACCATGCTTATTGCATTAATTAATCCATCAACTAACGTGCATAAGTAAAATCACATTAAGTATAAAAACAATATAAATAATTATAATTTATTCACCTGTTAACCTAAGTTTTGAGGGGGATTAAATTAATTAGAACATAAAATTATCATTATTAGCAAAAAATCAGTAAATATTTAATGCCCTAAATATTTGATTAAATTAGGTCTGAAAAAAAAAACTGTTTAAACAGTGATCAACTATTTAATTTTATAACATAATTTGAAATTGCTAATGATCATTTTATCAAGATTTTGAAGCTGCATTTCATATCAGGATCAACATCAGGCAAAATTTCTGTATAATGCCTCAACTCTAATTAAAGTGTATCTCAGATGCTTTTGAAATTAGTCTTTTAATCTCTGGTCTGGTTTAAGGTTTGAAACTTGATAATACAACAATTTTTTTTTTTATGAGATTGAACTCTTTTTTCTTATCACACCTTGTTTTTGTTGAAATTACTACAAAAAAGCAAAGTATACCATTTGTTGAAATTTGATGCAACAATTGTTAGGTAATACTAGTAAAATATGTAAACTGTACTGTCATTTAAATTGAGCAGCATTTTGGCATGTTACTAAAAATTCCCTATTATGTATTATATTTTTTCAATGCAGTTATATTAATTTTTTTACGTATTTTAATAGTATTGCTCGATTTGAAACTGTGTTGCTGCAGCTTGTCCCCCTCCCCCTAAAAAAAATAACACTTTTCACTGCTTAATCCATAGCATAAAGACAGAAGTAATATCATTTTGCTTAGACACTTACTTGATCAGTGTTCATATCAAATTTGCATTAAGCAGGGTCTTCCTGTATTTTATTATTCTTTTTTTCCATGCAATGTGTTGTACAATATATTAACATTATAATATTTCATTAAGCTTTATCCACCATTATTGTTCTTCATAACTCTTTAACTCATTTTCTGTATAATTACTGAGAATCAAGTTAATATGTCTAGTTTATGTAGCTCCATGATAGTCAATAAAAGTACCCATGTGGAAGAAAAAGGCCCATCTGAATATTTAAGAGTATTATTAAACAAAAGATACAAATTGAGAAAGTAAATTCTAATTTCTATAGTGTATATATAAAATATATTGTACAGCCATACAGTTTGCACGAACGTCATTTTTATTGTGCTGCGTGATGATTTTCGGTTCCGGAGATGAAATGAAGCTTTCTTTGCATTTAATATTTTTCGTTAGTAAGTTATTCTACAAAAAAGACAGCATGTAATGAAGTTATTTAGAAAATTATTTAAATTTCAACAAAATTAAATTTTTCCACATAAAATACTCATTAAAAATATTGCTTTGTGAACAGGGACAGAGACCTTGTTCATAAAGCAATGACTAGTATTTTTAAGTTAATCAATTGTTAATGTAGTCTTGATATAAATAATTGGATTGCAGTTGTCATTATATTAAGTATAGTGGTTGTAACTGTGAAATTTGAAATATGTAAAAAAAAAATATTAGTTTCATGTAACCAAATTTTTTTCCAAGTATTTGAAATTATCCAAGCTAAACATGCTTCAGAACTTCTAGTGTTCTTTCATAGGTAGCTCAAACATGTGTAGCCTTTTTATGTCCAAATTAGTGTGTATTTAAAATTTATTTCTAAATGTTTTAAACATTAAACTGGAGGTCTGTATTTTATTTAGTCTATTGGTGGTGTAGTCTGTTTTTACAGTATGTGGTAATAAAGTATAATATTTACAGATTTTATTGAAGTGTAAACAATAAATCTAATGTAAGAATTATTTCATAGCAGAATGATAGAGGAAAAGTTTTAAATGCAAAATAGTTTCAAAGAAGAAAGGAAAAAAAGTAAAATACATAAATCTTTTTAAATGCATGTTACTTGCCATTAAATTCACTTGTTTAGGAAGAAAAAGTATGATTTTTGTATGTCATCATGTATATAGAAATGCTGCACATTTTTAACTGATATACTCAATGTGTTCTATTTTAACTGTTAAATTATTTTAATAATTCCAATTTGATGTACTATTTGTTAAGAAAAATTTTAGTTTTATTTATATGCTAACATTTCTGTATTTAATATGCTATCAGATCCTTGTGGGGCATTTGCTGTTATGATGAGAGTAATTTAAACACGTAGTATGAGTAGTCTACTTTCAATAGGTAGCTTGGTTTGTTGAATATTAAGAATCTGCATTATATCAAATTAAAAATCCCTTTTTAAATAGTACTACATTATCCATTTGTTACTAATTATTTTTTATTTTATTTGTAAAGGTCCTCCTGCGATTGCTATTTTTTAGTTACTGCATTAGATAATAAAATAATTTTATGAAATATGCTAAAAATATTTTTTTATTTATTAAACGTCCTTTCAAGTTTAGCATTGTTCAGATTTCATCTTTATCATATCGTGGATGTATATAACTAAACTATTTATTGAAAAGTCCATGTACTCAGAAATAGAAATTTAATCATACTCATATTAAATAGATTTTCTTGTATGCACTTATGTATTATTTCTTTACACTTGCTTCATTTCTGAATTTTCTAACTTACTATAGTGTGACTGTGCTGCTTGTCTTTGAGCTGGTATGATTGTATTTATAATTATGTATAGTTTTATAAAAATAAAATTTTATGAGCATTTAAGAATTTTTTGTTTTATTCTTAATACTTTTTAGAAAGTGTTCTTTTATGTCCATGTTGTGTTGAAAGTGTCCATGTTGAAATAAAAACAAGTTAATTTTTTAAAAAATTGTTTATTTTCTGAATTTGTATATAATTTTCTATTTATCTTCATAATTTCTGTGGTGGGTTAATCGTAAACCAACAATGATTTTTTAGACATCCTCCTCAGAACTCTGTGACCAGTAATAATCGCAAGTTGTTCGCAGTCGTTTTCACTTCTCTGGTCAGCAGTTTATATTTCTCCATCTCATTTGCTCTAATCTCTTGTTACTCTGAATTCGGATCTGAATAACACATGATTAGCATATGTAAGCTGCCTGGGTATCCAGATCTGCTCTCACCTTTTCACTTGTTACTCTGAATTAACACCCAGCCAGTGTAGCGGTTCACGGTGCTAACTATTATATCGATGGGTCCTGGGTTCGAATCCCGGAGAACATGTAGATGTTATAAGCATGTAGTGTCTGTGTGGAGGGGGGCACTTAAAATGAATGGTGAGCTGAAAGTTCTTGTGAGAGGTTGTTAATAGGGAAAGAGAGGTGGAAGAACCTCTAACTACACTCCATGTTGTTCTTCCTCAAAATCAGGCCGGAAGCTCAACAGTTAGTTTTGTTCAGCAATACGTCAATCACCTGTGGTATTACAGAGGTTTTGGCCTAGCTTCTACCTTAACGATGAATTAGTTGTCCAGCCAGTATAGTGGTTAGTGGTACTTACTGCTGTACCAATGTGCCTGGGTTCAAATCCTGAAGAAGCCATGGAGGTTTATAAGTGTATAGTGTCTATACATTAAGGGGGGCACTATAATGCATGCCGATTTAGGAGAAAGGGGGTGATAGACTTTTCGAACTGCCACCAGGGACATTCTCCATGAAAATATTGGAACAGAACTTAGCAGGGTTCGGTGATACCTAAGCAGTGGTCTCAAACTGATGGCATGCAACCCCCAAAGCAATTTTATGCAACCTGCGAATACATTTCAATGCTTGTTGCAAAGATTTGAAAATTTTAGATATTTGAAGTCTGAGTTTACGTTACTTTCAATACCATTAAAAATGAGCGTGATTAACGCACTAGAAAACCTCTAAGCAGTGCTAATTAATTTATAGTGTGATGTAAATCTTATTCAAAGATTTGAAGATACAGATTTCATTGAATTTTATTCATACTTGTCAAAAATAAATGAGCTGAGTTACAAATTTTTGCACTAAGAATACTCTGTTTGGGAATACATTTAAATGTGAACAACTTTTATTTTAGTTTGATGAGTAATAAGAAATTATTTTTGACTGACTGACTAACATCTACAATCTGCAATGAAAATATTTCTAGTAGTTTCTCTCCAAGACTGCAAACTATATCAGAATTGAAATACCCTCAATTGTCAATCTGTAAGAAAAAATAAAGAAGTTTATAATTATTCGTGTGCTAATAATTATTATTTTGTATTTTTATTTATGCATCAAAGAAAAGTTTAATAATAAATAAGAGAAAGAGACTTAAGTTTTCATGCTTTATTCTCAAGTTTAGTCTTGCATGGAAAAATTTCTCAGAAAACTTAGATTTTGATAATTTGTTTATTTTTTAGTTTAAATTAAAGTAAGTTATGTAGTAATTAATTAAACATCGTAGAATTGTTTGAAATAAATGTCGGTGTGAAAAAATTAATATTTAGCAGGCAATTTAATGTGTTTTCAAAATTTCTTACAGGCACCAAAATTTAGATATTGGGTAGAAAATAAGTATAAATTTGGTTTTTTCCCCCTTTGAGGTATTATTCTTATTGTTTATGTACGTTTTGATAAAATTTAGTAAATATAATTTTAAACTTATTTAAAATATTTTTAATTTTGTTGAAAGAAAAATAAATTCTGGACCGTCAGCTGTTTTTAGATTGTGCAGTTTGGGCCCACCAGTGGGCGAGCGAAAGTCACTCAACACTGGTAGTTCAGGTTCAAACACTGCAAACGGACTATCTGCATGGGCGTTTTTGTGGTTTCCCAATATGTAATGTGTATACGAGCAAATTTTTCGTAGAAAGTCCTCCATAAAGGCATTCCTCCCCTTAGGCAGAGAGCCCTCGAGGCTTTGCCATAATCACATAAAGGAAATGAAACGCTCTACAAATTGAGTTTTTGGGAACGTGCAGGCCTTCCTTCAATCTCTTCCTGTCTCGCGAATGTGGGCTTAAATTACCTGCATCAAATGTGTGTAGATATAGCCGACCTTTCTTCAACAATCTTATCCATTTCAATTCAATCCAATCTCATTTCGCAGTTTTATGTTGCTCTCGTTACAATAACATCATGCACTTCACATATCTAGGAATGAATAGCCATAACTTTCCCGTTTCTTGCTGCTATGGAGAACCCGATGCCTGACATTTCTTAAATGTTTTCATCACACACTACATAATGTACAGAATGACATGATGAATGCAAGTGATGTACGAACCTGCACTAAGAATGCCGGGAATGTTCACATGCAAAATTTGAAATGGACCTTATTTAAGTCTGTTACTTTAAAATAGGAACTTAAGATCATTTCTTCGTGCCGGATTTTCCTTGTAGCCATAAAAACTACAACTACAGCTTCTGGAGATGGTTTGAGACGCTTAACGTTTTCTGTGCTCTATTTCTGCTTATCGTGTTTCGCTTCGTGAAAAAGCGCACGAATGAAGGTTTACTTGAACTACAGTTCCAAATGAGGTACAGAAAATAAGTGCCGCGGTGACCAGAAGACTGGTTGCATGCTCCACAATAAATATAAAGACTGTTTAATGCAATGAAATACATTTAATGCGAAAACGCTTAAGATGAAATATCCGTTAACACAAAGTGATACAACGGTTCCGACAAACTATTATGCATTTTCATGCTTTGTTTTTCTTTTAACACGAAACGAAAATCGCTTAACATGAAAAGATTTCCCTTCTGGAAATGAACAAAATACGGAAAACACCAGCCGCGCGTGCGAGATTTAAGAGGGGTGCGAAAAGAAAGAGGTAGCTTCGCATGTTTCATAGAAAGGAGGCTAACTTGGCTTTGAAATACCCTCGGAATAGCCTGTAACACGAGCCAATTTTGTTTATAAGCCAGTTTTGTTTATCTAAGCTACTTTCACCTCCCCACTCCTATGAACGACACACAAAAACATCTCATCTCTCATTAGTTGGCTTTGGAATTTGGTGACGAGTATATTGCAGCGTGTGTAAAAATCAGCGAGTTTGGTTTGCATCAAAAGAAATGTAGAAGGATATTGAAACTGAGCCGACACTTAATGAAATGTTTGAGAAAGTTTCTATATTATTGGACTGTCCTACTATATCATCGGAAGAATTCATTCAAAGACAGTTTAGAGTTCGTTCAAAGCTCGGAAAATATCATTGATGCAGATTCCGACTACGAACATGAAATGAATAATGCAGCTCCTGTTCCAACATCATCCGAAATGAGAAACATCGTGAAAAGTATGCGCCGTTATTTAGGCGCACATTCCAATGGTGAAATGAATAACAAAATGGACGACATCGAACAATTGATGCTAAAAAAGACTGTGCAAATAAATATTTCAGATTATTTTCTAAAACCTCTATAAATGTTTTGTTTTTTCAAAAAACTTGAAAATTTTGTATTAAATTAAGTGCTTGTGGATGTTTTTGTTTCATTGATTTTTATTAAATGCATGCATATATGTAAATAAAATGTACTCTAAATTTAATTTTGTTGGAATTTTTTTTTCAATATCCTTTAACACGAAAAAATATTTCAGTCCCCTCAGTTTCGTGCTAAACGATTTTCACCGTATTTATTTTTGTTATGAAAAAGTCGTGCACATTTCTAGCAGCATTACAATTTTTTGACATATTTTTCAGGATCGGGATTCGAAATGTTTGAGAGCTGGGCAGCTCAAGTGTGCATGCTACCTTTAGAGGAACGTATTTGTCGCATACATTTTTACCCCATCTAAGTGAAATAATGTTTAAAAAAGCGTCTTGAGTCATTTTAAAACAAATGCTTTCAACATAAAAATGTTACAAACTTAAAGGAATATAGATTTATGTGCCCTCAGTTAAAAACTTGGAAGTAATTGTAATCTATAATAATAAAAAGATAATTTGTTTGTGAATCGCATAGCTGTGTGTGTATCGCATAGAGCTGCGACGTAGCCCCAAAGCTAAGAAATTTAAGCACGCAGATTGCCTAAACTGTAATGTGTCCACCTCGAAGCGAATTTTTCAAACTTTTTTTTTGGCTAAATTCGAAACAGTTTTTCGTGTGTCCTTCGCGCATATCTTCATTCAAAGGCCAAACTAATTCTAGTATTTCAGTGTTTGCACCGTCAGAAAGCGGAAAAAATCTTTTAAATGAATTATCAATTCATTCTTAGATTTTTTTTAAACCGCTGCACATGTTCGTTATTTTTAAATTTTAACATCCAAAAATGTGTGTATCTTCTTATAAAAATCTAAGCGTTTCACGGATTGTAAAACAAACACTTTTCTCTTTTAAAACAACAATAATTATTAATTTAACAATTTTGTATATTCTTCATCTAAAATTTCGAGGTAATATCTAGTAAAATGTGGTCTGTCTTCTCCTATATCGCTATCTACAAATATGTACATAGCATAGTCATAAATACAAATAAAAATTAACGTCCGTTTGTGCACCGCTTAATACTGCAGGTGGGGCAAACCCTAAATTTTCTCGAATCTTAATGATCCCAAAAGGTTATCGAATTTGACGAATCCTTCATGTTAGGAGAATAATCATAAAAGGAAAAAAAAAATATTAAAATTTATTAATGAAGCCAAATTTGAAATCTGCTTTTAAAGAAAAATATTAAATATACATTTTTTAAAAATACAGTTGTATTTGTGATGACATATAAACTAAATTTATATTGAGGTGCATTTTCTCGACATGATTTTTTTAAAAAACCGAGTAATCTTTCAGGTACGGATGGTAGGATATTTAGATGGATAAAACTAAGCTTAATTAAATTAAATCTCGTTAAGTAAGTTTGTTTACTTTAATAATTCATCAAAGCACTAAATTCTGATGTCTTTAATGATTAGAATTATTTATGTTATAGCAAGCTACTCGAAGCCTGTCTGCGAAAGAGGAAGGATACGTGGAGGAAATTTTAAGGGAAACTGTCTGGTACTCATATCGAAAAACTCCACTTCGTCGGTATCTAAACCCGGATCGAGCCACCAGTGTTTAATTTTTTACTCCTGGACCGCTGATGAACTGTCTCTTTAAGGAGATACTGGTGATTCAGGTGCAACTCAAATGTAACAACTGGGTTCTTATTTTAATGAACGCTCTTATTTGACTTCAGTTAAAATAATATTTTCGATTTAAAAGATTAAACGATTTTTGTTATAATTTAAGTTATAATTCAAAAGATTTGAATGATGAAAAAAGTGCAAACATTCGAATTTTAGAATCTTTGTTATAATGTATATCTGTATATTTAATGCTACTGGGTGTACCATTGTCCTATAAGTATATAATAAGCATACACTGTTCTGAATAAGCATACACTGCACATTCGTTTGCATATTGAAATGCGTGAGTTACATTTTTCCAAGTTTTACTGACATGATTTATTATTTACTTTGTTTTGAATATAAATGTTTGATGTTTCTGAAAGGTTCTCTGCCTTTGCAACTTCTCTGTAATCAATCAATCATTTCGTTTTGATGCGGTGTGGCGTTTTGCGTCTGATTTCTATTCTGGTGTCCGTTTATGCTTTATGCTTATGCTTTTCCGTTTCCCCGTTTTTGTTGGACAATGATTGAAAGTGACATTTCCGGTGCTATTCCGTATATTCTCGGGATCAGATGCCATCAGAATGTTCTTGCATCTGCCACAGTTACATTCTGCAGTTTAGTTAGTACCTCCAAAAAGTCACAGTTTCAGGTATGTAGTTTCCCGGCTAGCCTTGTAAATTTTTATATGATTATGAAAATTCTGTCTCTGTTGTGCGTTTTTTTTTTTTTTTTTTTTTTTTTTTTTTTTTTTTTTTTTTTCCTTGTTATCTCAAAATATAAGGTTCTAAAACGGGGGGGGGAATTATTTTTAACATGGATTTTTACCTAATAACATTACTAAGTAAAATATTTGTAAATAACTGATTTTTTATCTTGTTGAAAGTGAATGCGAAGGCGGCGAAAAATCCAAACCCAACTTCTTTTATGAAATATTAAAGCTACAGTCATTTTTCATTCATTTTGGAATTTTTTAAATGTCTTCCATTTGCTAAGAGTGTATATGTAAGATTTGTTATGCTAATAGCTCAGATTTTATGCTGTCCTGTGTAAAAATGTTCAGATATATATTAAGGAATTCTGTAACTTCAGAATTTATGTTATATAATTTCCATTGTTTATTTGTTTATTATTTTCTTTAAATTTTGAGCAGTGATCACAGCGTGGGTCCCTAAATTTATTGGGTCATTTTGTGCTTTCTTAATTAAGCACTGAGAATTTGAACATAAAAGTGTAATGGTAATCAGAACTTTACGAATATTGAAGAATGAGTCAGACGTTTCCCGTGAGAGGTTCATTTAAAGAAAGAAAAATAAAACAAGGGAAAAAAATAATAAATATGAACTCTTTCAGGTTTTGTATTACGCCCAAACATGCGGTTTTTTTTTTTTTTTTTTTTTTTTTTTTTTTTTTTTTCAGTTACAGACACGATTCAAGGGCATTTAAGCTAACACTACATTGGGCTAAATATATTTAAAAACAGCATATCTTTAGAATTTCTCATAGGCAGTCTGGCGCTGGAGATAAAAACGTTTTATTCCTTACACTGCTCGTTTTGAAATTGTTGAATTTTTAAATCAAAAATTCGTTAAAAGTTTTACGAAATAGACAATAAAACAAATTCAGGTGTGCATGTTCGGGCGGAGTTTTACATTATTCAAAATTGATGGCTCTAGGTACCTTTTTTCACATTGCAAAAAACATACACACATTCATGCAGATTCTTCTTTATTTAGTTTCTTTAAATATAATTGAGAACGATAATATTTGGTGGCAACAATTTGAAAAAAGATTCGGACATTTCAAGTGATTCGACGCAAAATGACATTTCGAGACTAATAGCCATCTCTAGCGGTCTAATAGCGAAGGTCTTCTCTGGGTTAACGTCTATTTGGTAAAAATGGGTAACATGTAATATGAGAGACACAAAAAATTGTGAAGTAAAATGCAGTCAACAGCAACTGCTACTCTAGCTTGAGCTCTAAAAATGCAGGTTATTACTAGGAATACCTCAGAATAACCCAAGAAATGCAAAACTTCACGTACACAAAATATGATATATTCCAGTCTGCAGATCGAAAGAGATCCTGAACTCCTTGCCTTGTTGATCAAACTTGCAATAACACGAGGAAGGTGGTGTGTGAAATTGAGTGCTCAAGGGCAGAAATGCAAATACAATGAATAATTCCAGATTAAAATTACTGACAAATTGGAGTAAATAAGATGAATATATGCAATTATTTATCTAATTACTGATCACGTAGAAAGTGGGTAGAATAAAGTAGGAGTTTGAAATCAGTATCTATGATTCCATACTTAAAAACGTTTGGAATAATTGACGTTATTACTTAACTAACCGTGCTCTTTTTACTGAATCCACCAGTCGCAGTCTGGATAATGTTTGAGAAACTAATAGTGAGCAAGATATGTTTTACCTTTTATTTTATCAACCGAAATAACGCTATTAAATACGGGCTGTTGTAACTTATGATCTTTTTTCTTATTCTTATTATTTACATTTTAACAACATCGATAAGTGAAATTTTGCTTACCTTTCTTAATAAATATCCACAGGAACGCTTGCTTACCTTTCTTAATAAATATCCACAGGAACGCTTGGAATTCCTTTTCATTTTTATCACACAGAAGCTTTATTTACATCTATGTACAAGAATTGTATGCTTACATTAGAACATTCATCATGTTTTTTTTTTTTTTTTTTTTTTTTTTTTTTTTTTTTTTTTTTTTTTTTTTTTTTGTTGTTGTTGTTGTTGTTGTTGTTGCCACTACATCTATCTCAAAAATCCGCAATGCGGTAAGAAAAATATAACAAGCTAAAAGTAAAAAACGCTGCGCCCTCTCGTGGCCAGCTACATAAACTGTAACATCCTCCCCCTCAATGAACTCTTGGTTCATCAAAGGATTGGATTCTGAAGTTATCTTAAACACTGAATGTTTTTAATGTTCTACAAGTTTAAATGTTCATAGATGCAGTGTTCGCAATTTAAGTTCATTGTATTCAGTTCAAAGAGTTCAAGTCATTTCTAATGGGTACAATAAGTGCACAGGACGACGAAGATGAGTTCCATTAGCTAAACGGACAGTGCAAGCCCTTATTTTCCCATCTCATCCCTGGATGACACTCCTGTACAAGCTCTCCATCTTCCATAATAATCTTGGTAATTTTTTCTTCATGTACTAGAACTACAGAGCCTTTCAAAAGATCTGTTACGGCATTACCTCTCTGAATTTGTTTTACGTTTCTAATTTCAAGTAAGTATTCTCTTTTCCATCTTTTCCAAAACTCTTCTAAAAACCTTAGCCGGTATTTATCGTATTTATATCGCCTTGTTAAATTTTCTTTAGTTGAATCAGGTTCAAGAATTTTGCCAGATGGTAAGGATGTCAGTCTTCGTCCAACTAGAAAATGAGCTGGCGTCAGCGGTTCTGGTTCTCCAACTTCATTATAAACATACGTCAGTGGACGCGAATTCAATATCGCCTCAATTTCAATTAAAACTGTTTCCAGCTCTTCAAATTTAAGTGAAGCATTCATGAGTATTTTCTTCAAACATGACTTAATAGATCTAACAAGCCTTTCTCAGAAACCGCCCCACCAAGCCGCCTTCTCCACATTGAATTTCCACTCAATACCTTTATTACCAAAATGAACTTCTGCGTCCTTGATAGTATTCCATAGTTGTTGTAAATCCTTGTCTGCTCTTTTGAAGGTTTTTGCATTGTCTGAATATATTATTCAACATACTCCTCTTCTTGAAATAAATCTTCTAAAGGACAGAAAATTGTTTGCTGTTTGACTAGACACAAGTTCCAGATGCACTGCTCTGGTTACAGCGCATGTATACAGAGCAATATAAGCTTTCCCAGTTTCATCCTTTGTACTCATAGGACCAGCAAAATCAAGTCCTACAACTTCAAAGTGATTTGCCTCTGTTATTCTTTCAATTGGTAAAGGAGCGATATCCTGACTTAGTGGCTTAGCTTTAAATCTGTAGCAAATCACACACTTGTTAATATTACTCTTTACACGCTGTCGACCCTTAAGTATCCAAAATTTTTCCCTAATTTGAGTTAAAGTTTCAGCTACACCACCGTGTGCTTGCGTTTCTTGACAATCTTTAATGATATGATCTGTGAAATGAGACTTCTCAGGTAGTACTGCTGGGTATGTTTGATTATAGCTTAACCCAGCATTTTGAATCCTTCCTCCTACTCTGAGTATTCCATTTGAGTCTGCAAATGGATTTAATGTAAATATTTTCGAACTATGTATGCTTTGTTTCATCTTTAATTTCCTTATTTCTTCTCTAAAATTTTCTTCTTGAGTTTTCTTGATCCAGAAATTCTCTGCTTCATTCATCTCTTCAGCCTTAACAGGTCCAATTCTTCTTAGTTTTAGGTTTTTCAAATTATTGATAAATCTGAAAACATAAGATGTTATTCTATATACCTTTTTTATGTCACTAAAGTTCTCGATAGGAATGATATTTTCAACAATACAGTTTTGCTGTTAAAATTTCTTGCTTCTTCCTTTTCGTTTCTCAGAATTTGTTATTTTATCATCTTCCCTTAAAATTTCTTCAAAGATCTGGGGCCAAAATGTTGTTATCTTTTGACAAGCCAAGGTGGAGCCAATACCACCACAGTTCATTTTTTGAAAGGGTTTCTACCTTTTGTCCTCTCGTCAATTAAGTCCGAAGGATTCTCATGGCTGGAGACAAGTAATTCCACCAATCTGGATCAGTTTTCTCTTGGATTTCTAGACACCTATTTTGTACAAATTGGTTTCCATTTTGTCGAATTCAGCCTTGACCCAATGTAATACAATTTCTGAATCTGTCCACATATAAATCTTCATTTCTATGTATTTTTCAACGAATGTCGGATGTATGTGATGAGTCGAGCTCCTATGACTGCTCCTAAAAGCTCCAGTCGAGGTAACGTAACCCTTTTTATGAGAGCAACTCTTGCTTTGGACATAACAAATGATGTTTTTGTTAACTCATTTTCATTGTATCTCAGATATACAACGGCACCATATCCCTTTTGGCTACTATCTGTAAAACAGTGCAATTGAATATTCCACAGATTTCCTTTTGACAGATTGTTGAAATAATGTCTTGGAATTTCAACATTTTTTAATTTAGGAATTTAATTTCTTATACCAGGTTTTAAATTGATTCTGTAATTCTTGATCAAGTGGTGCATCCCATTGGTAACCTCTTTGCCAACATTCTTGCATCATCATTTTAGCTGCAACAACAAAGGGAGATATGAAACCGATAGGATCGTATAGTTCGCCCGCAACTTGAAGAATCTTCCGCTTTGTTATTTCCTCAGCCGGATCCTTGAGTAATTCATCTTTGATTCGAAATTTCAGTTTATCTGCTTCATGATTCCAAATATATCCTAACAAAGTGCTATTCATTCCGTCTACATTAAACTTCGTATTTTCAGCTGCATTCTAAATCGCATGTAATTGGGCGTTATTGCTCCTCCACTTTATCATATTGAAACTAGCAAGCATCATAATTCTTTTCACATCTTCATAAATTTCCGCAGCTTCTTCTTCATCATCTGTACCATGAATCAAATCATCTACGTAAAAAGTTTCTTCAAGAAGCTGACAGATCTTCGAATATTGTGCTTTCAACTTTCTTGCGTGATGCTTTATAGTTGCTGCTAGTAAAAATGGGCTACATGTTGCTCCGAATATTACACGCGTCATTCTTAAAATCGTCGGTTGCTCCTTTTCCTTTGAAGTCCAAAGAAATCTTACCGCATTTCTGTCCTCAGGCTTCAACAGAATTTGTAGAAAAGCAGCTTCGATATCTGCAGCAAATGCTATTTTGTGTGTTGACGAAATTTAATTAGCAAATCTAATAATTCAGGGTTTAAATTTGGTCCTGAATGTAAGCAATCATTTTAAAGATAGACTGTCATGAGTATGCGAGGAAGCATCAAATACGACCCTTAATTTCGTAGAATCGTGATCTTCTCTGATTACACAATGGTGTGGCAAATAATAGATGTTTTCTTCAGAATTCTTCGGAGCCTTTTCAACTATTCCTTTATTTAGATAATCTTCAATTACCCTTGAATACTTGTCATAAATTTCAGGATTTTTCTTAAACCTTCTAAGTAAACTGTTCCATCTGTTTAAGGCGATGTTATAATACTACCTATTTTGTTCATATTGTCCTTCCAAGGTAATGAAACTTCATAACGATTGGTTTTATATTCAATAGTTTCTTCAAATCTACGCATAACTTCAGTGTCATTCTCATTTGTTGAATAGTCATGTATTCTAATTGCATCTAAATCCCATAGCCTTTTTAGAGCTGCACTAATTTCTAAATCCTGTGGATGTGAAGTATTCTCAACAACATTCATTACCGTAATTCTGGAATGAAGTGTAGAAACATTACTTAATGCTTCAGTTCCGCTTATAGTGTAACCAAATAAGGTTTCAGAGGCAACAAGACCCTTTTATAATCTTTTAACCTTCCCAGTGACTATTTTCCAGTAATAATCATTACCAATTTATACTGATATTTGAGAGTTATGGACACCTATATCTGTAGCATCAGCAAGTCTTATCGAATTTTCCTTACAATAATTAAGTATTTCCTTTCCTGGTATACCAATAAGAGCTTGATTAATTTCTGGAGTTTCAAGAGCTTCAAATTATTTTTCCCAGGTCCACATATATCTTTAAGAATAACCTTAACCTGTTTTAGCCTTTTAACTGTAGGCTCAGTAGAGCCGAAGGTGTAAATCTGAAGTTCTTTCCCCACAACACTTAATTTTAATTGTTTTGATACTTCTGTCAGGATGAAAGATTTATGAGAGGCAGAATCGAAAATGAGTCTTACATTTTTTCTTCCATTCTGATCTAAAGCTATTGCATTTGCAGTTTGTAAATAAACCCTATTTTTGTTATCTCTTTCCGAAATTGACGCCACCACTGTGTCTGTTTTAAGCTCACCTTTATTTTCCCGTTTATTTTCAAATTTATTATCATGTAAAATAGTATTATGCCTTAATGAACATAAATCACAGCGTATATCCGAGCTGCAACGGGCAGATGTATGAGACTTACGAAAGTATAAATAGCATCTGTTAGCCAATTTTAATTTTTTTCTTTTTTCCTCAATTGGAATTGCGCAGTTTGAAGTAGAATGTTTCAAAGATTAATTTTCTATCTTCCCACAAAATATACAATCGGCTGTTGATGTATTCGTATTCAACGACGCAACTGCTGGAACAAAATGTTTGTTTTTGAAGGCAGTATGATATTTCTCACTTTTAATAAGGTCTCGCGATTGATGTTTATGTTGTTCGGTTCTAATGTTAAACTCGGAATAGTTTGGCGATGTTTGGAAAAAACGTACCACTCTCTGCTTTCAACTTCCTTCTTCAGAAATTCCAAAATGTTAGTCACCTGTGGTTTCTGTTTTAGGGATTAACGATCGGTTTCTGTTTTAGGGATTAAAGATCGATTAAACTCTAAAACTAATTCGCTAGGAAGTATTCCTCATTGACAGTGGGCATAACAAATAGCTGTAAGAATTTCGAAGTAACATTAAGAGAATCAAGGCTTCTAATTTCAATTTC